ATCGTTTTGTCGGTTTTTACATTTTGACCTATTATTTATTTAGCTTTGTTCTTTCCTTTGGGTTTTTTTTTTGTACTTTTGCTCTTGGATTTTACCTTTTCCCCTTGTGTTTTTTAAAATTTTTATTGTGTCTTGACTTCGTTTTATTTTAGTTTGTCAATTTACCGTTTTATACTTTTTCTTGAGGTTGGTAATGTTTTACTGCACTGTACCTCTTTTTCAACTTCTATTATTTTACTTGCGTTCTACTATACTATTGTCTTTCTCTTTTGCTTTATTATTTTTAATGGGGCCAGTTGGCCTGATTTGTCATTATCTCCTGTTTTATTTTTGGTATCTGTTGGATGTGCCACAACTATATTATATAAGCACTGGTTTAAATTTTTTACTGAATTTTTATAATTCTGTTTTTATTTCCACCTCCTATTTTGATTTTTTTACTTGTTGTTTTTTGGAGTTTTATGTACATATAATGTATTATTTATGTATGTATAAAGTATGTATCATCTCTCGCATGCCCTTAAATAGAGCGGGTCCTGATCCAAATAAACATAATGTTCTTCCAAGAGTCGCGATGGCTCAGGGGATAGAACGTTCGCTTTCTAATGCGGCGAACCAGGTTCGAATCCCAGTCGATACGAATTCCGCATCCCCCTTGCACCGACCACAGTGCTGACGTGAAATATCCTCAGTGGTAGACGGATCATGGGTTAGAGTCCCCTTCCCGTCAGGCGAACCGTGGGCGGATCTCGTGGTCTTCCTCTCCATGTAGCGCAAATGCGGGTTAGCTCCATCAAAAAGTCATCCATGAAAGCAAATTTCTCCCAATACTCGATGCAGGAGTTCCCTTGTCTTCTGGATTGGGTTCAAAATTACAAGGCTACGGAGTTGAACATTAGTAGTCGTAAACCCATAAAATTGGGTCGGCTGTTCAACGGCGGTTATAAAATAAAAAATAAAATTATGTTCTTTCAGCAGTCTGATTGCAGAAAACATCATGCTAGTTTGACAAAATTGCATCTCAAATATTTCTAACACTTTTTATATAATTTTTTTTAAAATTCTTATAAAAAAACAATATGAAGTTTAAGCAAAATTGCTGCTTTTAATTTCTTCTTGAAGTTTTTCTCTTGTGTCCGATGATGTATCTGTGTGACGTTACTCGATTAAAAATTTCTTTTGTTTTAAAAATATATGAATAGGAAATAAAAGTCGACATTGTTCAAGCACTCAAAAAACAGGCTCCCATTCTCCAGACTTGATAGACGAGAATGAGAAACAAATATGATTTAAAGTAGAATACAAAGTTGCTAATGAAAAATGGAAAAATAAAGGTGAGAAACAAAATTAGAACAACTACAGTTCTGCTTGCTACAGTCCAGAGAAAAAAATATGAAAAGCAGAACAAGAAAAAATCACAGTAGCCGAGAGGGTGAATCAGAGTAAAAGGCATTTCCACGCCCTAGGGAGAGGTTGTGAGGTCGTTAAAAATGAAATCAGTATTCATATAAATAAAGCAAGATTCCAGGGCATCAGGATGAGTTATACAAAATGTATTGATACTATGATTCCTGAAAACTCAAAAAGCCATTTTTCCATTATTTGTAATTTTTAAAAAAAAACTGTTTTCAAAAAAAGGTTGGGGGTGGGGGGAGTGTTGATAAAATGTACTGAGTAAAAAGATGAACTCAGATATACTCAGCAAACTCTAATATGGAAGAATTAGTTCGGAATTCTTCCTCAAAAAATTTATCTATTGATATTTTTTTGACACTTTTCTTCTTCGATAAAATGAAATATTTTGTCGAAATATCCTAAATACAGGAATGGCGTTTTATTTCCCTAGACCAGTGTTTCCCAAACTTATGACTTTTGTGTACCCTTTCTACATTTTGCGTAAAGCTGTGTACCACTAACAAAAAAATGAATATATTTTTTTAAAAAATATGTTTATTTTTCTTTTTTGGTACAAAGTTTTTTAGGTACCAGCGATAATTTTTATTCTTATGTTAGGAATAAAAATTATATTTTGTAAAAATAATCAAAATAAGTAGAATTTATTACAAATCTTTACGATAAAAAAATTGCACAAAAGTTAAAAATCACAACTGGCTGTTGACACCACTAATTATTAACTATCAACTCTGCAAAAAATAGCCTATAGTATATACATAATATAAATAATAAAAACAGCCTATATATAATAAAAATAGCCTATACATAATCGTAAATTTTCATGGCTAGCTCTGTTTTTAAATAAAAGTTTTTGAAATTTTCCTTTGTTGCAAGATATTTCCCATAAGAAAGTGTACCCCCGCTAAACTGTTCCCGTACCCCTGGGGGTACGCGTGCCACACTTTGGGAAACACTGTCCTTGACTGTAAATCAGCGAGGTAGTGGCGATTATTGATAAAATATACACTGCAAAAAGTCGATTAACGAACATGTAAAAGTAATTTCCGAATTGATCTACAAATATTATTCATTGATAATTTTTTGACATTTTTCTTCATCTATAAATTAACTATTTTGCGATGTATCATAAATACAGGAATCGTGATTTATTTCCCTAGACTGCAAATCAGCTGGTGGGGGGGGGAGGGATTGATAAAATAAACTGGTATTGTAAAGAGTCGATTCGCAATCCCTTTATGAACCAATAACGAGTGGTTTGTAATCCGAATGTGGGGAGTTATGATGTTTTCTGGCAGAAAAACGAGGAAAGGCTGGTGGTAGAGGCGACATCCTTTTTCCCACGTTAGTTGGAGTTCAAGGTCAGCGTGGGGAACGACACTTTCACACGGTGGCTCTCTCTCTCAACTGTTGGATGGATACGCTAGGCTAAATGTCGCTCTAAACTTCCGCGCTCATAACGGCTCTCATTTGTTCCATCAACTCTGAAGAACAATATTTCGGTCATTTAATAATCATTAGATTAGAATTGGTAATGGGTCCCTCATTTATTTATTTATTTAAAAGCGATGAACTTGTTTTATTAAAAGGGCATTTAGAATTTTCTCCGCATCCAATGTCAATTACGTACAAATAAACATATTTTTGTCAATTTCAGACGTCCCCTGCTCCCTAGCCAGCAAAAACAAGGAAATCACAAACCCCTTTTCATGCTCGTGTGACTTTTACAGAAGAATTCTAATTTTAGGATTAAATTCAAATCAAAGATGTAATTTTGCATGAAGCAAAATTTATGTTTCAATTTATTAGATAAAATTTTTAGTAGATATTTAATAATCTTTTGTGGTTTCAATTAGTACTCTGCTTAGGTAACAGATATTTAAAAAAAAAAAAATTATTTGAATGACTATTTATTAAAAAATAGTGATAATTTTTTAGGAAGTATAATAGTATAGTAATAATAATTAATAATAATATAGTAACAGTGACAAACACTGTATTTAAAAAATAAAAAAAATATACTTCTTCACAAAATTTTTGTCTTCTTCTTTTATTATTATTTAACGCGTATGATGTTTTTTTATTTTTTATTTTATTTTAATTTTGTCTACAGTTTTTTGAAGGTTTTTAACATTTTTTTTCTTCAAATTCTGTTACTATGTTTGTTTACCTATTCTCATGTTTTCATTATTTCATTTGATTTATTGAAATTATGGTAAATTCTACGTTGGGGGGATTTCATTCATGTAAAAAAATAGTTGATTTTCGTCAAACGGTATTGATGGACACGGCAAATTTCGGCGATGGTTCAGTGCTCATGAAAAAAATACCAACTATTTTACGGAAAAAGTGATTCAAGCTTTGCTAATATTCCTCCCCTCCCAAAATAAGCTAAACACAAAGTTCCTCCCCTTCGCTAAGTGCTTACGTAATGTTTGAACGGCAGCAAAATATTTTTAACTGTTGTTAATTCAGAGTTGTGGAGCCAGAGTTTAAAAAGTTTAGTCGATTTCTGTTACAAAAAAGAAAAAAAAAATTACAAAATTAATACATTAAATTGCAAAATAAATAAAAAATGTTTGGTATGAAAAGAAGCGAAAAATATTGGATAAGAATTATGTGAACATGAATATTATGAAAATTATTTAAAATATTACTTAGTACAAACAAAATTAATTACATTTTATAGCCTACCTTTAAATTAAACAATTGAAAAAGTACACAGAAGATCATTGAGACTATTGAAAAATCAAGATTAATGAATGAATTCTTAATAAGTTATAATTTAATTAATAAATTTCAATACCAAATTTATTTAGCTAAGTTACAAAGTTAATTAAAAACGGAAAAAAGATAAACATAAAGTAAAATAAAATATTTTAATTAAAATATATATATTTTAATTATTAAAATAACAATAATAATAACAATAATATGTGCATATATATATTCCGAAGAAAATATATTATTAACAATAAATCATTATTTTATTACTGCGTGTTCCTAAGTAATAAATTCCTTTTAAGTATTTTGTGTTTCAATTATTTAAATTTGTACTTCAACAAGAGAAAATGTTTATTTAAAATGCATTCAATAATTTTTAAAAAAAAATTGTTACAAAAAAATTATGATATATATAGAAAAGATGTATATTAAAATAGTTTAAACTACGGAACAAAAGCCACGTGGAAGGAAACATAATTTGAAAAGCGCGCCCTATCGCGTGTAGAGATAAAACAGTGTTTACGTTNTTATTAATGCGTGTTCCTAAATAATAAATTCCTTTTAAGTATTTTGAGTTTCAATTATTTAAATTTTAATTTTGTAATTCAATTTTATATTTCAACACGAGGAAATGTTTATTAAAAATGTATTCAATAATTTTAAAAAAATTAGTGACAAAAAATTATGATACATATAGAGAAGATGTATATTAAAGTAGTTTAAACTACGGAACAAAAGCCACGTGGAAGGAAGCATAATTTGAAAAGCGCGCCCTATCGCGTGTAGAGATAAAACAGTGTTTACGTTGATTATCGATAATGGATTCAAAACCACCTGCCGATTTCATTTCATTTAAGAATCAATTTGTCAAATACTTCTAAAACATTCAAACGGAAGAAAAAATGGTGAACGAAAATTTTAAAGAAACGGAGATTTTTTTACAGGATTTTTCCTCCGATGAGCTTGCTTGGTTAGATATACCTGTGAGTTTAAATTTTGTTTTGCATCTATATATTGTAATTAAACAATTGAATTATTTATATTGTATGTTACATTAAATGATGATAAATTGAAAGCAGAGAACAACTCTAGAAAGCAGAGGGTTGGGCTTTGGGTTGTTTTCTTGCATTTTTTTTTATTTATTTATTAAATAAAAATGCAGATATATATGTCCGCTAGCTTTGTTAAAAAATACTTCACACTAAACTTTATTTCTTTCTAATTCCTTAATAATGCATTGCTAGCAAAGTAGTTAGCTATCAACAAACACAAATCTGATCATGTTACTTATTTATTTTTTTACTGATATTTAATATATTTTAATCTTAGAAAATAGCATTTTTTTTAAAAAATAAAATTCACATTTTAAGAAATGTCATTTTAAAATCGATTAAAGTATTCAGGAGTTCAGTATATCTTTTAATAAATTTAAAATATTTCTTTTCAATGAGATGTTTTATATATTCTTGGATTATATCACAATTTCTATATAAGGTAAAAAATTTATATGTGTCGTAGGCTAATTGAAAAATTCAATTTTTTTCAAATGTAAGTGGCATTTTGTAATGCGCCTGGCTTATTAAAAAAGTTTTTAGTATTAACCTGCTTGATACTTTTAGGCTTATTATAATCATCCTATATCCCTCTAGGCAAATTAAGAAATGTGTGAATTATTACTGATTCAGCCTGAATTTTCTCAGGCTTATTGCAATAAATATTTAGTAAGGCTAGTTACAAGTTGTCTTTATTATGGATTTACAGCAAACTTCATGGAATAAATAAGCTTAATTGAGCAATGAATTATATATTTTCTTCAAAGTCTAAATGTGCGTGGGCTTATTTTATTGAACCTATAAAGTGTTTTATACATTATAAAACATTACATTAGCCTGGTGCATTGTACAATAATGACGGATATTTCCGAAGATCCGGATTATTTCATTAGTTTACGATGAGTCACGGTGGCTCAGTGATAGTGGGCTTGCCTTCACCTGCGATGACTGGTCGTTATAAATTCAGCTCCAAACTCGCACCCATTACAGTGGTTAACCGATATCATGAATTAGAAACCCTTAGTAGAAACCCACTCCGGAGGTAGATTTATAACTTTATTAACAGTTTTTGTTTTCAATTTTCATTGCTATACTTTTAAAAAAAATTTTCAATGAAAAAAGAAAAAAAAAAGAAGATTGCATTGAGTAATTAAATTTGAAACACTCTTTTATTCGTTAAATGAAAAAGATGTAAGTTTCGTTTTCTTAACTGACTTGTATTGATGAGGAAAAAGATCTAAGATTTTTTATTATGAATTTAGATATTTTTTTATTATGGATATCATATAACCGCACGTAAACATAGAAATATTACTAAAATTCAATTCAAAATACTTTTATTCCACATAATTATTTAATCATTTTATTTTACTCAACGATCAAGGGGATTATGCTAAAATCATTCTCATACTTATTCGCATTTTTAATCTTTTTTTCCCCTTCATTACATATTATGGATAACTTAAACCATTGAGAAGAATGATCTTTTTTTAAAGACTTTAAATGACATTGTATAAAATAAATTTCTCAGCTCAGATAAGCATAAATCAACTCATTCCTATTATTCAGAAGTTATAAAATTGTTGTGCTGCCATCTGCCGATGATAGAGAGAATCACCGTCGGGATATGATGAATACGATAACAGTTTTTTTTAAAGGCAAATGTCATAATCTGAACAAATATTCCTAAACTTTAAAAAAAGCATACATTTAGAAATTTAATTATTTAAATAATTGTATACGGTTGTGGTTGTAGTTGTAATTTATTTAGGTCGCACTAGATCTGCGCAATGGACTATTGGCGACTATCTGGGATGATCCGAAGACATGTCATCCCAATTTTGTTCATCTGGAGAGGGGATGGCACCCCCGCTTCGGTAGCCCGACGACCTGCGTGCGAAGTTGAGCACTTAACAGTAGAACAGTTTGACGAGGACCAATACAGCGCACCCTCGATCCCTTCGTAGACTGATCCAAGTGGTCACCTACCCGCATACGAACCGCAGCCAATGATGCTTGACTTCCGTGTTCTACTGGGAACCGGGTCTTAACGATCAGTCCACTGCGGGACTAATTGTAAATGGAAATATAACAGTTGTATATGCCCCAGATGTCATAAAGTAGCTAGGTCATATATTAAAAAATATGTCAAAAAATATGTCGGGCATTTTAACTTCATATAGTACTAAGCAATTAATCGCTCCCACATGTTTCTATTTTTTCCGAATGTTCACCAGAATATTTTATGGTTATAAAATTCTGAATGGTTATTCAAGTTATTTGATGCAGATTATTGTGTACTTTAAATGTTTCCTCAGATCAAAATTTGTATTGATTACATAATATTTCTTTCAGCATAATTTTTATTATATAATTAAAATAATGTGTATGTTTTTAATTTTATAAATAGTTTTATTTTAAGGATAAAAAAAATTTAAACTGCCATTCGTTATTTTCATATCTAAATATTGCACATTATTTTGCCTGTTCATCTCGGAACTATATTTTATTTTTGGGCAAGATCTATCATTTCGATAGATATCATCCAGATTTATAATCATTTTATAAATTGTATTCTTCTTTTTTAAATTTTATATTTCTTTTAAAGAATAGATTGTTTTTATTATTTTTTTTACATTTAAAAAATAAATAAAAGCTAGTTAAATAAGTTAGAATCTTATTACCTGCAATATTCATCTGAATTATTATTTTGGCCACAATTTGTATTATCCACGATTTTGTTTTCCGAGCGAAAAATTATTTAAGTGCAGCAGTGACTGCTAATAATAATTTGAGAAATATATATAATATCTTCTATAGAAGCTATTAACGCAGGAAAATTTAATTTTCATTTTATTAATAAGCATTTATTTGATATAAATTAATTATAGTTACATCTAGTAATAAATTGACTTCACTGAACATAAAAAAAAGGCAACCGAACATCAAAAGTGTTATTTTTGAAATCATAAATAAATAAGAAATTGCCTACTGCTCATCAGCGGTTACTCAAACCGGGGAAATCTTCAGGTTAAAGTTAGTTAACTCTGGATCCAACTGACACGCAGTTTCGTACATGGTGAATTGAAATTTTGGAATCCAACCTGGAGTTGCTCTCATAAAACCTGTTTCGAATTGTGGCTGAGGGTTAGTTTCCATAGTATATTCGGGCGTTAGCTGTCTGGCTAACCGTGAAAGGTTTTCGTGTTTTTTTTCTCTTCATGGAACGCAAATGTAAGCTAGTACTATCAAAAAGTCTTTCGCAAAGGAAAATTTCACGTAATATTCAGGAGTTTGTCTTATGAGTAGGGTTCAAAATTATAAAGTTATGAAGTTTAACATTGATTTTCGTAATCTCAAAATTGGGTCAGCTGTTTTACGCCGTTTATAAAAAAATAGTCTACGATGTTGTATAACAAAAGAATGCGAATATAAATCTAAGTAAATGTTTTTTCTTCGTTTATTTATTAATTATTTTCTTAATTTAATCTTGTAGCTGTTTGCCTACATTCATAGTTTTGCTTTTGATTAAAATTGGTTAAAAAATTTTTCTCGATGTTTTCCCCATAAAATATTTTATTTTAAAAAATATTTAAATTTTTTATAAATAATTTGAAAAAAAAATTATTTCTGAATACAGGAAAATGTACTTTTTTCTTTCAAAGGATGTAAGGTCAAGTAAGAATTTCCTGAAGTATACAAATTAGAATCATTAGAAATACTTAATATTTAATTATTGTTTCGATATGGTGTAAAGAAAAACTAACGCAAAAATCTTACTTAAAGAAAACTTACTTCTCAAAATTAATTTTTATAAGCAAGTTAAAAAAAGTATAGGTAAAAAAGTAAAGTATAAGTATGTATAGGTTGAAAATATTTATATTGAAAGCAAAATTTTCGTATTTTTGAAATATTATATACATATGTACGATTGCAACTGAATTATTAAACATCATCCATATCCAACAAAAAATAATAACATTTCTACAATTGTGAATTCTACAGAAATGTGTAATAACAATTACACATTTCTGAATTAAAATAACACAGTCGAAATATTATAAATACGCAAATCGAAAAAAAAAAATGATTATTTTTTCTATAAAAAAAAGAATTAAAAAAAAAATAAAATAAAAAAATATTAAAAAATTATAGCTTCAAAAATAAAAATTGACTAAAAAAATTATCAACGTTAAATCTCGTTATCAATCCACACGATTATATCCGAAAAATTAATGCTTTCTGATATTGCTTTAATGTATCCAAAGCAAAATATATCTGATGCATTAATCTGAGCAGCACCAAAAAATGAGACAGATTGGTTCGTCACTTTGAATTTGCCCGAAAAATGAATTTTCGTAGGGCAACAGTATATTAAATTAGTTAATTAAAAAATTACAATTACTATGTCACATTTTAAATACAACGTTTAACTCCTAAATACAACATTTAAAACAAAAATGAAGTTTCAACTTATTTTTTACAGTAGAAGTTAGAGATTTAGTTTCCAATTCTAGAAATAGCTAAATCTCAATTCCAAAGCTTTTTTTAATGTAACATTATTTATAATGATCCTTCGTAAAAAGAATTTTCGTAAAAATAATGGTCACTGTTGTTGATAAATTACTGTATTTTTTTTTTGAGAAATATTAACAAATTTTTTTTTTACCCTTTACGAGACTTGCTTTTGTAAACTATGGGAAAAATCTTAATCACAAAATTCAAAAATATTAGCTCCTCAACATTTGTAGGTGTCAAAAAAAAAAGTCTTTTGTTCGACTTTTTAAAATTGCTTAATTTTTGAGGAGGGGTGTATGGAGTTCTAAAAATACGTCTTATCCCATGGTACTCAAATCTTAAATATATATTCTTTTGTAAATGGTAAAGCTAACTTGAACATCAGAAATTATCTCTCCCCTGCCTATTAAAGGTTATAAACAATGTAATATCTTTCACTGTTTACAAGAATTTTGCATGCTTTTATCTAATCTATTTTTTAAATTGCGGATGTTAAAGGGGAATATACGTCAAGATTCGACTTGTTTGGTAAAAGTACGTATTTCTTTTTTATCTTTGTTACACTTTACCATTTAAAAACCAACTATGATGTTACTTAAAAGTTCATGGTATATTTATTATTTAACATATGTTTTTAAAAATTTCTTTTATTTTCCCTTTTACTCAAATAGTTTATTTCATCTTTATGTTGAAATATTTTGAAAATAGATTTTGATGCGTCTTAAGATTACATTAAAGCTATTCGTCAATTTTTTCAAGATTTCTATATGTAAAAGAAAAATATATATATTTATACATATCCAAATAATTTACACAAATCTATACCTATATAAAAATAAATGTCTGTGTCCTTTATAAACTCCGAAATCATCCGACCGAAGGCGATGAAACTTGGCATATAAGATATTTCGAAGCATGAAGACGGTCACTGTCGACATTAAAACATTCTACACCGAACCGAAAAACGAAACGGAATTTTCTGATTGGTTAAGCGTTAGTCATTGTTTTAGATTTTATTATAAGCAATTCAATTTTTCAAATATTTTAAACATAATATCAATAATATTTTCTAGCTTATAACTCTATTTAATTTAAAAAGTTTATTTCTCCTACTTAAATATTTAATTATTTTTATTCGGTGTCAGATAAATTCAATGAGCAACATTAACAAGGATTACGTAACCAAATTAATATTTCTAAAATTATCTGATACTACAAGTTTACTTTGTTTAGTTTAATTCCTTTAAAATGCGTTTCTCTAAAAGTAAACAATTTAAAAACAACGGTAACTGAAATAAAAAAATATTAATGTGTTCAAAGGCAAAATTAAAGGAAAAGTGGTACGAGTTCGCTTTGAAGAAACATTAAAAATCGCCACACTGTTATTGACGCCAATGATTGTTAATTAATTTCGGTAATATATGCATGTTGAAATAAAAGAAATAAGCAATGTGTTAAAAGGTAAAATTAATGAAGTAAAGTACTTATTCGCTTGAAGGAACCGTAAAAAATTGCTTTACCAATACTTACGACAATGATGCTTAATTAATTGAGCCCAACACGTATATCCAAAATTCGTTTAGATAACCCGTAGAGAATCACCTTTCGCAGATGATGCTTAATTTTGGTAATGTGTACTACTTTATTATTACGGTAATTGGTGCAGTTTTATTGCGAATTCTACAACGGGATTCCCGATGCTTCAAGAAATATTTTTCCTGTTATACAAAAATAGTTTATTACTATTTAAATGGATTGGAATTAAAATAACTTTTTCCACCACTACTTATAAATAATTTTAGCTGTAAATTGAAGGTCAGGTAGAGAAATGGTCTTGCTCCAAAATCCTTTCTAAAGGTCTAGTGAGAATTCTATTTGTTTTTAAAATTTCGGCTTTAGTTTGCCGCCACTGATAAATTTATTTCGCACAAAGCTCAAATGTTCAAGGGTTATGAAATAAGTACTATTTATTATATTGATATGTTTGCTGATTATTAAAACTGCACCAATACTATAATAAGTAATTTTAATACCGATACTGTGGAAATACGTGTCTTACAGCCCCTTGAAAGGGGCATGTACTAGATAAATTCGTGGTAAATTTTGACTATCATTGGTTAACCGCAATATCATCACGTTAAGTGATGTTAAATACAGTTCATCTCTATTCTGATGGGATGAACTACAAAAACCGTGTTTTGTTCTGTAAAAGAGAATAATGTTAAGCTACCGGGAAGGGCAACAAATAATAAAAAATTGAAATTATTTTAGCTTTATTAATTGAAGAGCTTAGTGGAGAAACCAAGAAAGAGACATTTTCAGAGAGGCTATAAGGGTAAGAAAAAAAAAAGTGGTTTCCGAACTATTAAATTAACCGCTTTATCAGAAGGCGAAGCTAATAATTTTCTAGGCTTACTTTATTTACCACTGCCTAATTTGAAAATAAAATCTTTCAAGCATATTAAAAACTAATGTGAGTTAGTTTTGCTAAGTTTAAAGTAAAAGCAAAAGCAATTCAGTTGCATTAAACATAACCACTTATATTTTCACTGATTCATAAATACCCCTAAAAATGTCACTTCCTGCTCCTTCCAATACTCTTTAGTTGCGTCGTGCTGCCAAATCTGTGCATGATTTCATAGTATATATTCATTAGTGATTAATTGTTTTTTTTTAAAATTAAATATAATGCTGCAATGTATTTGTGGAAGCACAGACGAACTATATGTTCCCAAATTAGAATTCCTAGGGTTGTCAGATAAACTCAATGATAAGCATGAGCTACATCAAAAAAGTCCTCCAAGGAAGGCAAATTTCTCTCAATACTCAATCCAGGAGTTCCCTTCTGGATTGGGTTCAAAATTACAAGGCTATGGAGTTGAACATTAGTAGTCGTAAACCCGAAAATTAGGTGAGCTGTTCAACGACATCTATAAAACAAAATATTTAATTTAAATAATTTCTATCGAAGCAAATTTCGCCATTTTCGGTGATAAAATAAACTTTTTCGGCTGTCTATTATGGCTGGATTTATACTATCTGTAGTCAATTTAATGGAAATAAATTGTTCGTGAAAATATATCGTAAGAGAATCGACTTTTTCTTTGAACTCCGTTCGTGCTTGTTTTATTCGTCTATTATGATGTGTTACATCGGAATTTTTGTTTCGCGATAGATCACCAAAAATATAAATATTTCATGGCATATCGCGATATTCTTCATATTAACTAATTTGCGTTATATTTACACTGGTCAATGTTTTTGTTAGAAGTTACAGTTAGTTATAAACTATACCATCCTGCTGTTGGTGGCGAAATTACGAAGCCTTAATCTCGACAGTGATTTCGCAATCTTTTTTAACAAAAATATTGTAAGTTTTATTGAATGCATGATCTATTTATTTTCGTATGAATATACAGATCATCATTATGACATAGTGACTTTTGAATTATTACATGAAATATGAAATCGAGTTAATTTTTTGTGCTTTTTACAGGAGCAATATGGCTATGGAGTTAATCAATCCTACCAGAATGAAGAAGGCAGACAATATGGAATGAATAATGCCATTCCGCAGTATTCACCAGCTGCACATTCCAGTGCCGCTCCAACTACATCGGGCAGCATGTCAGCCTACAGCTTTCCAAATCACGTATGGCTAAAAATAAATTTATACCCTGTTTGCTCCCCCCTTTTTTTTAAATAAAAAAATCATAAATAAACAAAAGTTCAGATCTGTAAAGCCGGGATAGCCTAATTGGTAGGGCGTTGGGCCCCTGTCCAACAGGGCGTGAGTTCGATACCCTCATGTGATTAATGGTAACTGGTTCGCGTTAAATCTGAGTCACAGAGTCTTCCAAGTTCCTACAACATATCAATATTTTTGGGGGTATTGAATTGGAGATTGATCGTTCACAGGTTCAGGTCAAAATTATAATCTGTAGATTAATGAATGGACGTATGAATGGGTCCGCCCTATCAACGAGTTGTGACGGTTGCGTGTGGTCGAAGTCGAATTCTTGGTCATAGATGGCGCCACTAGAAAACAAGAAGGTCACCCCTTTGCCTTAATGGCCTACAACAACAACAACTGTAAATAAGTGTAAAATTGTATAAAAAGGAATTAATTAATTTAAAGTTTAGTAGACAAACATGAGATACGTTATAGAGGTATTGAGAAAAACACCTTTAGAAGGCATGTAAACAACAATATAACTGATAATTTTTTTTTCTCAATTTATGACAAATATAGCTTTAACTTTAAACTATACATTATCTGAAAGAAAATGTGCTTTTCCTTAAAAGGCCTTAAACATATTTTTCCAATAAGTTCTATAATTAGAAACTACAAAGATATTTTATGCATTCAAAGAAGATTTATTAATCGAGGCTAAATTTAACATTTAAAAATGATAAAAAATTATAATATAAGGAAAACTATGTCAAAATTTTGAAAGCCTTTGAATACATTTAAATATGTTCTTCTTTTTTCTTCTCAGGTCGAACGCCCCATGATGATGGAGCTCAGCGAATCTCCCCATAGTCACGTGCAAATGAACGGTCATTCCATGAATCAAGGAGAAAACAGATACGAAGGCCGACCTGTTGATCTGTCTAGTCCTCGTCCCAATAGTCATTACGATCATTCTCATCTAGTTAATCAACATAGATCAAATCATTATCGATCCCATGACCCTCCTTCCTATGAAAATGGTCTGTCAATGGGCATGGCTAGTTGTGGTAATTATAATTTTTTTAAAACTATTTTTAATATATATATTTAATTGTTTTAAAGTATAAAGTAAAGCATTCTTGCAACAGCCCGTAGTAGGCTAGGGGAATCATGTAGGTTAAGGAAAGATCCACACAATTTCGTGACCAACCGCATGATGGTGGAGTGCACCGACTGCCACTTTACTTCTCAGACAAGCTGTCTGAGAAGTAATATAGTAGTAATATAATATAGTAGTAAGCTGTGTGCGAAGTATAGATACATATATATTTTAAAGGACTAAGAGAAAGTGTTGGGTTGTTCATTAAACAGTTTCGTTTTTTCCCAACAGAGAACTTAATTGTATTTTATCACGGCCAACTTTGCATTTAAGCCACTTGATCATTATGCATTTTGACAGCTCATATAGCAACATTTCCTTGTGTAAAAGCTCGATTGATTCCACGCAGTAGTTTTTGGTGGGTGCCTTTTCAAATATGGAAAGTAAAAAGATGAAATTTCGGCACATTTTGCTTTTTTTACTATCGACAGGGAAAAAATATTGAAATATAATGATTTAATAATAATGTATTCAAGCAAGAAAAAAAATTATTCTATGTGTATAGAGAAGTACTCCTGGGCCAAAACTGGTTGGCAAAATTCAATTTATTGAATTGGACTGTTCGTGATCCTTAAAGAAAAAACCAAAACGTTTTTGTATCTATATACTATTTTCGATGATGTTATCTTGATACAGGCAAGAACTTCCGTTCTTTTCAAAAGTTTAAAGAAATTCTTAAAACCAAATGTACAGGAAATATTTTTGAGGCTCTGCTATGAAAATCTTGAAAATGGTTTTGAAATTTGTAGTTTTTATTTTGATAAACATGCACAAGATGTTCGAAGGTCTGAATAAATATCGTTATTTAAAATGTGACTAGATTTTAAAGATTTAAAATCTATGTTGTCATGAATGAAAGATTTAGTCATGCAACAAACTGTACAATTTAACCTATACTTGTATGTACGATTTAAAAGCAGCTATTATCACTGATACAATTTACTATCAGATTATTGAAAGGGTACCACTACTGATAGGACAAAAACACCATTCTTAAACTTTGTTCAGTATTTTTTTAAGATATGCGACTCAGCGTCTTCGACACCTATTATGATGATTTTTCTATAATCTGTGTTTGGAAATAAATCCACTCCAAAACTCTGAGAATTTTAATGCCAAAACAGCTGTCAGCTGATAATCACTTCACCTAAAAAGAACTTCTCAAAAAGATAAAAACAAAAGCCCTGAAAAATTAGCAATTCCAGCTAATACTTATTCGGTAAAAGCAGTTTTTTAAAAAAGGATCGAACTTTTTTGTTCTATGTCTAAGTCATGTGGAATCCAAATACGCCTGATTTTGATCTTTTTTTCGACGATGGGGATCTATCGTATTTGGATACGTGTTTATTTCCCCTGGACATGGGTATGGGTAAGTAGCCATGTTTTAAAGATTCGAAATTCTTTGGCTGAACATGAGTTGTTTCTCTCATGGGTATAAAACCAGAGGTAAATGAAAGCTGTCGGCTTTCTCAAAGGGAAATCCCATTAATCTCTAATTGTTTAATCTTTTTTATCTGTTTGGCGGGATACAACAATGGTTTTTAACCTGTTTTGAAATTAAAGAACACTTTAAACTTCATGAGAAAATTTGGGAAACACAGTAGTAGAATGAAATTCTTATGCATATTTTTATAACGTTCATTGTATTTAAACTGACCAACATGACAGGTTAAACATGTCAAAAATAAACTCTAAATAATAAATAGTAATATGTTCTCTAGTATTTTATTTTTATTATATTATTTTTATTATATTATTTTATTTTAAATTTAAATTATAGAATTTTTTTCTGGTATCCGATTTTACTTGTAAAATAACTTATTTTATTTCCACTTTTATAATAGGTTGGTGAAAATTTTCCTTAATTAAAAGAAACTCAGCCCACATTTTAAATTGCTTAGAGCTAGAAATCTAAATTCTATCAAAAAATTTTACAAGTATGTTGCATAAAATTTTTTTATAACGTATACATTCAGTCTCCTTTAATTAAAATATATTCTAAAAAAGCATTTAAACCTATATCTACTAATATGGCTACCCCTATATCTACTAATATGGGTACCACTATATCTACTATTATAGGTACCAAGATATCTGATATAGGTACTGTGGAAATAGGTTTTTTACTGTTCATCGAATGGGATGAGTATCGGAGAAAACTGTTGACTATAGTAATTTTTTATTATCAGGAGTTGGCCTCCCAGCCTTAGCATCAGGCCAAATGATACTGAATATGGTTAATTAAATATATCTAATTAATTATACTTTAATTAAAATATATTCTTAACAAACATTTAAACTATATCTACTAATATGGGTACCCCTATATCTACTAATACGGGTACTACTATATCTACTATTATAGGTACCAGGATATTTGCTATAGGTACTGTGGAAATAGTTTTTTTACGGTTCATCGAATGGGATGAGTACCGGAGAAAATTGTTAGCTATAGTAATTTTTTATTATCAGGAGTTGGCCCCGAGTCAAATGATACTGAATATGGTTACTCTTTATTTTGATGGGATGAACTTCTAAAAAAAATTTTGATTAATCTAATAGCGTAAATTCTCCAGATAGCGAAACAAATAATAATAAATAAAAAATAAAATAACTGGAATAGTTTTAATTTAAATTATTGTGTCAGTATATCTCTGATTCCGCAATGATGACAATTACCGAATTATTGATTACTCAGACTTTTTATATCCATACGAAGAACGAGTATTCAGCTTGTAAAAGAAAAAGACTGAAAATGTTGCATAAACATAGGAAAGAGAGTATGAAATACCAAGTATTGCGAACCAGAAACAATAAAATTACGCGTTGAAGCTTATTAAGGATAATTTTTTCGTTCTATTTTTTAGTTATTGGTTCATAAGAGAATCTACGTTCGACCTTAATGTTTGGAAGCTGCAGTTCCAATTTTCCATTTTCTCCAAAGTCTTTATCGAACTTGACGTGTTTTAGCGATCGATGCCAAGCAAGAAATTTTTTTTGGCACTGTTTGTTGAATATTTGTTGCCAAGCGCACTTACTCTCTTCTTCCACCCGAAAAATCACGTGCTTCCTTCCACTAAGTATCTTCAAAATTAATAAATTTATCAAAATAAACGAATGTTATATATTTAATTAAGAACTTTTTGCGAGAAAACAAAATTTTAAAAAAAATGTCACTTACCTGCTTCTTTCACCTAGCTCTACATTTATCAGGTGTTATACGTTTTCTTCGTTTTAAAATGGGTTATATTTGTGAAACCAGGTTTTCATTATAAGGATACGGAAATCTGAAATAAAAGGTTAATGAAAGTTCTTGATACAGTTTTGGACTGAAATTCATAAATATTTTAAAATTATTTCGAGAATTTTCCTTATGGGACCTATTGATCATTGCAGCAAATTCTTCGCTTCAAATGATTATAAAATTTTGGAAAAGCTTTAATTTACGTATACGGAACTCTGCGAAAGACAGTATTTCAGAATAACTGTTATACAGACATTATTTTTTTTTATAAAGTTGCGTCTGTGTAAAACTTTAAACAAGTGATCGTTGTAATTTTATAAATCATTCAAATAATTTTGTGCAAAAAATAAACGGACCACCCAGAATTACTTTTAATGGAATAATCGGATCTTTACGTTCTAGCACTCAATCACAATGGTTTGAGAAGGTGACCTTAAATATGCTAATTAATTAATTCAAAATATATTTTTCAGCACAAAAAGTACTTTTTCTGCACAAACATACCCTTCTTTTGACGGATTTGGTTTTCTGACATCCGAAATATAAGGGGTAGCAGCAATCTGGTAAATGTGGTTCCAATAGTTTGATCAGGAGAGCGGTCCAAAGTTTGGACCCCTTAATGTTAATTTTGCTTTTTGCGTATTTCGCAATATCTGGTGAATTTTTTAAACAAATTGAACATTTTTGCAAACAATTATAAAATTTTTTTGTCCAAAGATAATTCAATGCAGAAAATAGTTTTTAGTATGCATTTTATTTAAGAATAGTCGAAAAAGTTTTGAATTTTAAGGTGGACAATTTTTTACATCATTTTAAAGAATGTAATTTTTCTTTGGAAAATAAAAAATTTGAGCGAATCTGATCGACTAGTTCATGAGAAATCAATTTTTTAAAAAGCCGTTTATTTAGATATTTTGGTCGGAAATCGGAATCCACCATAAAAAAAGGTACGTTTATTCAGATAAAAATACGTTTTTGTATTTGATTTTGTTACCTTCTCTGGCTGATTAATTATCATATTTGAGGTCTACCCCTTGAACCATTAAGATTGAGCCCCAGAACGTAAAAATCCGATTTTTAGATGAAAAGTTATCCTGGGTCGTACTTTTATTTTTTGCACTCTATGCACCACAATTTTGTAATTTTGATGCTTTTCGCCGCTATGGGTTGGTATTTCCACCAAAATCGAGTATTTATCTGTGTAACATTAAGCGATAATAGTCTAAGACTGTCTCTCTTTATTGTCCATGCATTCTTATTGGTCAGAAAACCTCATGATTATATTATTGGGTGTTCAAATAAGTTCCCGCCGTTCGTCACAAGATGGCACCACAAGAAGGTTACGTGGAAATTGACTGGTGTTAAACGTTTTATTGTAAGTTTGTTCATCTGATAACAATATAACTTTAAAGTATTAGTGATTACGTATTAGTATTACGTTTTCTCCGTATTAGTATTGTTTTCGTTCAAAAATGTCAAGTTTTGTGCCAAGTAAGCGTCATTTGTGGGAACTTTTGATTTATTTCTTCAATTTGAAGAAATCTGCAACTGATGAGCATCGATTGATTGGTAAAGCATATGGTGAGGCTGCTTTAAGTGAGAGAAGTTGTCGTGAGTGGTTTCAGAAGTTTGAAAATGGTGAGTTTGTTGTGGAAGACAAAGAATGCAGTGAAAGGCCGAAATAGTACGAAGACAAGGAGTTGGAAGAATTATTGGAAGAAGATTCGTCCCAAACGCAAAAAGAACTTGCACTTACATTACAAGTGACTCAGCAAGCAATTTCATATTGTTTGAAATCGTTGGGAATGATCCAAAAACAAGGAAGTTGGGTTCCATACGAACTGAATCCAAGAGACATTGAACGTCGATTTTGTATGAAAATTGATTTTGCTGTTTGAAAACACTTCGATGGGAAGTTCTAACCCACCCGCTGCATTCATCAGACCTTGCCTTATCAGATTATCACCTATTCCAGTCGATGGCACATGGTCTGTGTGAGCAGTAATTTATATCATTTGAAGAAACCAAGGAATGGGCCGATTTGTGGATATCCTCGAAAGATGGAGAGTTCTTCCTACATGGTATCCAACTGCTCGCAGAAAGATGGGAAAAAGTAGTGTCTAGTAATGGAGAATACTTTGAATAAAAGATAATGTACCGTTTTTTAAGAATAAACTGATAATTTATGATACAGAACCACGGGTTCTTATTTGTACTCCCAATAACAAAAAAATCAAGAATTCTTTGATTGACACCAGCTTAAAGTTAATACATTTGGTATTTTTTAGTTATGTATATTTATCATACTTTTCCAAAATTCCAAATAGTGAACTATTTAAATTTTTAAGGCTAAGGTAGGAATTAACTTTTTGCATTTTTGCTAAATAATCTTTCAGGTGTTTAATTTATAAAAAAGTTTTTATAGAATGAAACAAGAATTAACACAAATAGACAAAGACGTTCGTGATAATTGGTAATCGAGAGAAAAAATTGGTTTAAATATTATTCTAATAGATTCGGAAGATAAATTTGTGGAATCGAATTCGCATTAATACATTAAAATAATTTGGAGACATTTGAATTGAATGCTTTTTAGTTATGTTGCTACACTTTTTTAAAAGTAAACACTGTAAAGAATTTTAGTGTATCTCAACGCTAAAAATGGTGGTTCCTTCTTTACACCAAAGTGGTGTGGTGAAATACCAAAAGACTACACATAAATCTTGGATCTATGTGTCACTACACCAAAAATGTTCTGTTACACTACTTGGAGTTAAGTAATCGCCGCCATTTTTGTTTGTCAGTAACACTAAAATTTATTACTACAATAAGGTATGATACACATTAAAGTCGGTAAAGTTGTTTTTACGATACAGTTGAAGTAAGAATAATAAATTTAAGAGATACATCTATACAATATTTCTTAAAATAAAGTTAGTTTGTTTATTAAACATGCACTCAGAACAGAAAGAATATTATTATGAATTCGAATTAGGCTTAACAATACCGAATTGGATAAAAATCAAACATTATGACATTATTTAATACAATTGCCAGATTTATGTAAATGTTCGTATAAGAACGGCATTATTATTAATATACCACCAAAAACATTTCATGCCTTTTTATAACTGTTTATTTTTGTAGAATGTTGAGTATTGTGCTATGTAAAATCTCTTTCTCTGTTTGATTGTAAATAAAAAATATTGATTATCTAACGGTTTCCAAAGATACACCGAAATTGGCGAAAATAATACATGAGCGGAGTAAACGTATATGACCTAGTTGTAAAATTTTTCCTTTTCTGGAGTTAAGATTTAACTACGCTATTTTAAAGTTAGTCTGAATGCTTGATTCGGTATTAAGTTGATTGTTATTGTATTTCATTTACATGACACTAGAGAATCACAATGGGCTATTGGCAACGGTCTGAGAAGCATCCCTGAGGACGTTCCGAAGACATGCCATCGCAATTTTGATCCTCTGCTGAGAGGATGGCACCCTCGCTTTGGTAGCCCGACGACCTGCGCGAGAATTCGAGCATTTTATGGTAGAACAGTTTAACGAGGACCGATACAGCACACTCTCAATCCCTACGCAGACTGATCCAAGTGGTCATCCACCCGCGCAATGACGGCAGCCAGTAACGCTTGACTTTGGCAGAAATAACACGTAATTTTTAGAGTTTTCAGAACCAAATTTAGATAAGTATTATACCACAATATTTATAGTGAGGAAATAAAAATGATTGCAAAGCGATCAGGGAGGGGGACATAATACGAAAAGGGACAGAGCCTCCTTGTTTTGAATATTTTTTTAATGTCTTGTGTCCCAATTAATCCTTTCATTTTATTTTATTTTAATAGATTCATCCCTTCAGTATTCGCCTGGCCCAGAGAAATTAAATGGCGAGCAATCTCAACACCAGTTGCTTTCAATTGGCGGCATGCCTCCCATGCTTCACCCACCCTCTCACCATAGTTCACCCATGCCTTCTCCTACACTTGATGATAGGATACGATCCAGGTAATCATATGGAATCTTTTAGTTACTTTAAAAAACATAAATTCATCAGAGAGTATTAAAAATATCTGCTGATCTTATATATTCAAGAACATGTTTTGGACAGCTCTAAATTTAAAAGAAAAATTTTATAGATTGTATAAAAGCAAATATACAGGGCGTATCGTTAAGACCACCCTCAATATGTATATTTAAAATCCTTAGCAAAAAAGAAAACTAAAAAGCACACGCATGGGCTATCTCAAATTAATATTTAATCAAAGAAAGAACTCAAACGCTGTCGATATCTGACTAACCACAGTGCAGGTAGGCAGATATATTTAACATAAAAAAATTTCTATTTTTATTTTATAACTGGCGTTGAACAGCCGACCCAATTTTTGAGTTAACCACTACAAATGTTCAACTCCGTGCCTTGAAATTTTGAACCAAATCCAGAAGACAAGGGAACTCCTGGATCAAGTATTGAGAGAAATTTGCCTTCATGGAAGACTTTTTGATACAACTAACCCGCATTTGCGTTACACGGAGAAGAAAACCTCCTACAGTGACTCTAACCCATGATTTGTTTACCAATTAGAATATTTTTTGTGAGTACGGTAGTCGGTGCGAGCAGGTTGAGGAATTCGTATCTACTAGCTATCACTGTGATTAAAGACACCATGCCTCTTCAGTTGGAGGTTGAAATTTAAAAGTGTTTCGAATAATCGTCTTTCAACACAGCCCTAACATTTAGTAACTAAGCCTTTTATTTTTTATTTTTTTTGTTACTTACACCCTACTCTATTAGGATTTGTCAGATTTCGTCCACTTTATTTTTTCTAGATTAAATATTAATTTGCAATCGCCAGTGTGTTTACTTTTTAGTGTTCATTTTTAATGAGGATTCCAAAAATACATATTAATGGAGGTTTTTATAGAACCCCCTGAATAATATTAAAAAAGCAATTTTTAATTTAATTTTTGATATTTATCGTAAACGAAAGTTAATTTTTTTCGAATTTACTGAAGTTTAATAAAGTTTTTCTGGTAAGCTCTTCCAGTTTATATTTTAAAATGTCTTTTTTTTTTTAAATACAATGAATTGCTTAATTTTTAGGAGCACTCTCATTCATTAATTAATAACATATATATTAATAAAATCAACATTTATTTATATTTAAAAAAAAAAACAACATTTATTCATATGTAATAGCAAACGGATGTGGCAATATATTTAATGATAACGTTTAAAATAAAAATTCAAAGAAAGCAAGAAAAAAATAAAATAAGAACGAAAAAAAATTTATAAAAATAGTATGCACTATCAAGAATTAAAAGAAATTATTAAAAACTTCGAAAAACTTAAAAGATTAATTAATTAAAAATTAGAAAAATTAATAACGAAAAGACATGATCTCGTCATCAGTCCACACGATTATATCTATAAACGTAGTACTTTCTAATATTGTACTTAGGGGGTAGCCGCAATTTCGGAAATATGTCCGAAATAGTTCCGTCAGAAAAGCGGTCTAAAGTTTGGACCCTTTAATGTTAATTTTACTTTTTGCGTATTTTGCCATATTTCGGGAACTTTTTCAACCAATTGAAAAATTTTTACACACAATTATAAAATTCGTTTATCCAAAGAATATTACAAAAATAAGTTTAAGTAAATATTTATAATTTTTATTATTTTATTTAACGATAGTCAAAAAATTTGAATCGTAGGGTCAATTTTTCAATAATTTTAAAGAATGTAATTTTTCATGGCAAAATACAAAATTTGAAACAAATTGGAACAATAGTTCCTGAAAAATAGAATTTTAACGAAGTCGAACGTTTAAAACGAGTCGAATATTTTAAGGAAGTAGAATATTTGAAATTCAATTTCTGTGGAAGTATTCGAATATTTAAAGTAAGCAAAACATTTAAAATTCATTCACAAGAAGTGTTCGACCGAATTTTATCAAATTTGTATTTTATCGAATTTTATTAAGTTTTATGAAGTAAAAAAATTCATCTTTAATTCAAATTTTTTTTTGACCAGTAATAAATAATAAGAAATTTTTACTAAAAGTAATTTTTTGTGTGAAAGTAATTATCTTCGGATAAACGAATTTTATAATTGCGTTAAAAAGTTTTTCAATTCCCTTAAGACGTTCTCTAAACATGGCGAAATACGCAAAAAGTGAAATAAACGTTAACGGGTTCAAAGATCGATCGCCTGATTAAAATATGGAGACCATTGCGGCTACCCCTTATATTTTCTGGGGGTAAGGAATCCCAATCCGCCGAAATAAGATATGTTTATTCAGAGAAAATACGTTTTTGTGTCTGATTTCGAAACATAAAATATCGTCAGCACTAATTACTCATAATATTTAAGGTCTCCCGCATCGAACGATTAAGATTGATTCCTAGAACGTGAAGATCAGATCATTAAATCATTAGTTATTCAGGGTATTTGTTTTTTTTCTCGCTCCGTATATTGTGAATTCTGCAAAATCTTGTTATAACGAGAGCCACTAAAGACTAATTCATTTATCTTATTTTTTTTCCAGATGGAACGAACAAAGACTATCAAGGTAAATAATTTATTGTAACTTATCATGTTCTCTTTGAATGTCATTTATTTGATTTTACCTACATCTTTTTATCAGCTTTTTTCATCTAACTCAAGTAAATAACGCAATCATGCTGAACTTAAAATGGAAAAGTTTTTTTTTCTAATAATACTGTAAAATATGAGGTTTTAAATAAACATTAAAAAAAGAAGTTTTAGCCAATGACAATCTGTCAAGTAGTAAAAAATTACACCCCCTCTGCCACTCTGGTATCGGGTTTTAGCGGAAAGAATGTAAAGGGCGGAGGAAACTTACATGCAACTATTTAGACACATTTTATTTTTGTTTTCCATGTAGTTTTTTCTCCCTCGATCAAATTTTTTACACAATAAAAAGTACAATTTTGTACTTTTATGTGTTCAAATATCTGACATTGTACTAGCAAAATGAAGTAATATTTCTTGTGTATTTTTTTACGCTGACTCAAATGACGAGTCAATAGAACCCTATGAACAAGAGTCATTAATTCTTATATTTTTGAAATCTCAAGAGTTTTATAAATATAAATAGATCCTCTTTTTTTAACTTGTACTTATGTGAATTTTTTACGCCACAATATAAAAGCTACCTAGACAAGCAAGGTATTGTTACTTGTGTATTATTTCACGCTGATACAAATGTGACCAAGAACGAGGCAGTAGAGTCAACAGTTTAGAAATGTCCAGTTTTTCAGAATCCTATGACCTAACCCTTTGATGCAGATGGGACCCCGGTATCTCTTTTATAGATTTTGTTTCAAGCTCTAATTACGAGCAAAAATATATTTTTGTAATTTTAGTCATAAAAACAGTCTTTTTGTTGCTAAAAAGTCTGTAAGATTATCTGAATTATATTTGTACTAAAATTTAAATCTAAAAAAAAAAAATAGTTAGGAAAATTGTTTTATTCATATTCAAAATTTATCAATAATTGATTTGGTAAATTAGAGGCATTTCAATGATGAATAGCTGCTTCTCTTAGATCTAAATAACTGCTAATAAGTACAAATTTGAAAAATTCTTTTTTGGAAGTGAGCCGTGCTTGGAAGATTTTACCTTTAACCCAGAAAAAGACACCGGCATTTGATGCTGTATTTCATAACCATAAATTATTAAAATGTCAAACATAGTATTTTTTATTTGTTTTGACCTAAATTAATGCGAAATAATGTAAAAATGTTTACAATAAAAATTCTGCGTCAAAGGGCTAGCACTGAAATGTGAAAAAAGTGAAACTTTGATTTATAAAATTTTTTACCCTTGTTCTTTATTCTGAAATAGGGATGCCGTGAAGAAATATCTTCGTGAAAGGGGAGACATGGTTGTGGTTATACTTCATGCAAAAGTAGCTCAAAAATCCTACGGCAACGAGAAAAGGTAAGTATGCAGGAATATATAAAGTTCAGTTATTAATCTATCTTGTGATCTATCAGTTATTATTCGTGATCTAAGCTCTTAGAAATATTGTGTGAGTGACGTGCTCGTGTAACATGTTTCAAAGTAACCATGACTTGTTGTAATGCACCTGACTGTAAAAGTTTGATTAACAACTTTCAAAGTTGTTATTCAAACTTTTTTTTTCGAATTACTTTTTAATTCTGACACTCCTAATGTCTTTGGCATCCTTAAAATTTGTTTCATCAGCGTTTACAATAGCATTTACAATACTTTTCGGACAAATCTCTTACAGTTTTTTTTTCTTCTGAAAATGAAACATTTGCTTAGTAAAAGGATTCGTAAGGCATTTAAGAAGTTACAATTGAAGAACATTCTTAAGAAAATAAAACTGACATCAAAGAGTTCAAATTTCCGCCCACTCTACTGGCAAACTATTGAGATCATATTTCTCAAATTGCGGCTGCTCCCTATATTTTGTAAATAAGGATTAGATAGTATCCGCCGGAATAAAGATACGTTTATCCTGAAAAAATACGCTAATGTGTTTGATTTCTTAACTTAATATAGGCAGCACTAATTTTGCACATATATGAGGTCACCCCCTCGAACCATTAAGAATGAGTCATGGAACGTGAAATCCGGTCAGTAGGGGATCAAAAATTATTCAGGGTGATTCTTTTTTTCGCATTGTTTATTATAGCAGAAGGAGATAACTTTGATGCGTATTAGATAGGTATAATGCGGCTTTTAGGAGAACTCCAGACACCCGTCTTGAGTCGTGACGGGTACTATGGTTACGAGGAAAGGTCACTTCGAATACAGGTGTGGAGTGAATAGTTTTGTCTTAATCTTAGCGTAGGTCGTAAGTAAACCAATCGACGCCTTCTTTCCTTCATTTCACCCCCATTAGAAATGTGCTCTTGCTTGTTACCATAGCAGTAGACAGCCTCAGACTCTGTAGGAGTTCTCCTCAAAGCCACACTATACGTTGATCAAATATAAAATTTTCAAGATTTATCAAATCAGTCTTGTAAACTACCAGCTGCATATCGCATTTTTAAAGTGATTTTTTTTCTTTTCTTCCTTTATTCATGTTAGTTCAAAGGATTACTAGAAGAACGTGTTAAATACAATTTTCGAGAGCACTTAATTTACAAGTTTTAAGAACATCTAATTGTTTAATAGTTTAACAAACTGTGGCACATCATTTAAATTTTTTTCACAACTACGACGATAGCATGAGTTAAGAGAGCTCAGGTAATAGAGCATTCACCACCCAATGTGATGACCCAGGTTCGAATGGCTAGTTGATACGAATTCTACTTCCGGCAATCACCATAAACAGTGCGATCGTAAAATATTCTCAGTGGTAGACGGATCAATTCCCTTGCCATCAGGCTAACTTAATCTAGGAATTCCTTTGTCTTCTAGGTTGGGTTCAAAACTTAAGGTTACGGAGTTAAACGTGATAGTCGTAAACTCAGAACTGAGTCGGCTGTTCAACGCCGGTTACAAAATAACATTGAGTTGAGAGAATGTAGCGACGGCAAAGAGGATTGAACTCACAACCTACCTGTCCACTCACCTATGCGTATTGTCTCTCTTGTGAAGTCTACCACTCATTTTCAAAAGACTAAGTTGTTTTGGGAATCGTCGCCACGGGCAAAAAATCTGATAAAAATCTATTTTTAATTATTTTCGAGTTAATAACAGGAGAAACAACTGTTATTTGCTATTGTTTTGTTTTTAACATAACTTTTTTTGAAGTACGTATCTACTCAATTATTACAACTGAGTCGGACTTAATGTTTGTTTTTGAGAAAAATGGAAAATCATGTTCAAGTTTACGAGAATAATAAAGTCAGTAACAATTTGCAACCATATTCTTTATCTGATTTAACTTGAAAATTGGTATTTTTAATCAATTCACCTAAAACTTGTTTAAAAAAATGGATTTCTGTTACTGAAAAGGAAAATTGTCGATTTTGAGAATTGAAAACTGATCATTGTTGTTGGAGTTCATTTACGTCGCACTAGAGCTGCACAATGGGCTATTGGCGACGGTTTGGGGAAACATCCCCGAGGATGATCCGAAGACATGCCATCACAATTTGGATCCTCTGCAGAAGGATGGCACCCCGCTTCGGTAGCCCGACGACCTGCACGCGAAGTCGAGCACTTTACGGTAGAACAGTTTGACGAGGACCAATACCGCGCACCCTCCGTCTCTACGCAGACTAATCCAAGTGGTCACCCACCCGCACACTGACGTCAGCCAGTGATGCTTGACTTAGGTGATCTGCTGGGAACCGTATCTTTAAGATCAGTCCACTGCTGGACTGAAAACTGATAAAAAAAAATTACAAATAAGCTTCATTATAATTTGTCAGTTCCAAAATTGGTTTGAAAGATTTCAACTCGGTAAAATTTCGATTAAGATGCACCACGCCAGTTAAAACTGATGAAGACACAATCAAGGCATTAATTGATGCAACTCTCGAGATCGTTGGGAGATTAAATTTATTGAATTCGACCGTTTCTGATCATTTAAGAACATAAAACCAATAATTAAATGCATTTCAGGTTCTTTTGTCCACCACCTTGTATTTATTTGCTTGGAGACGGATGGAGAAGAAAGCACGAGCAAATGTCTCGAGATGGAGAAAGCGAACAAGGCACCCATTTATGTGCTTTTATAGGCATTGGCAATTCCGATCAAGACATGCAGCAACTCGATTTCAACGGCAGGGTAAGTTTTGAGGGGAAAAAAGTCAATACTTAAGTTGCTGACTAAAAACAGAATATATAAACAGCTTTTTAGTTAAAAGATTTTAAACTGATTTTAACATCAACTGATTGATTTAAATATCAATTAATTTAATTTAAACTACACTTGGGGAACAAATTTTTTGCTGCGTTTATACTAATACTTCATCTTGTTCGATTCTGTGGTGTGGGGATATAAAATCTGAAAATAGTTTTGCTTGAAGAGCTGCAGAGTTTTTCAAACCTCATTTTCACTCTATTTTTTGTCGAAATGTACTAGTTTAAAAACATTATAACGGGAGATCAAGTAAATATTGCAGCAAACGTCTAAGGGAAATAAGGTACATCTTCAAAATAAGAACTAAATAGGAACCCATGCCTGGAAATGTCACTGTACGCGGTTAAGAGCTATTCAGAAGCACATGAAAAAACAGTTGATTATAGGGAAGCCTCCCTAGTGGTGTATGATTACATTTACGGGCATAACTTTCTATGCAATCTTATGCATTTTATGGGTTCCTACGCAATGGGGTTCTGATGATGTGCCCTAACACATAAGTTTATCGCAACATTTACTTAATCTCTTGTTATTTATAAAGTTTATAAACTTGTACATTTCAACAAAAAAAAATAAAGCTTGAAGAGCGAAAGAGATTTGAAATCAGCTATAGAAAAGTATCTAAGATCTTAACAAGAAAAACTTCACGCAATATAAAAAAAAAGTCCTCCTCAGTGTTATTTCGATTTTAACAACATAGTAAATAAAGAGAGAATTAAACAAAATCAATCAGTAACTTTTTAATTAAAACTAAAAAAACATAAACAAATTTTCAGTTAAAAGTTTTTAAGTACAAGAATATTTTTATACTAAGTTAAGCCTAACTTTCCAGTAAACACTTGTGACATTAGAATATAGAAGTCAAAACATTGTACTTGCAACACCATTGCATTATAAACTTATTTTCTTTTGCAGAATTATTGTGCAGCCAAAACACTCTTCATCAGTGATTCCGACAAAAGGAAACATTTCATGCTTTCAGTGAAAATGTTTTTTGGAAACGGAGAAGATTTGGGACTATTCCAGAGTAAAAGAATCAAAGTAATATCAAAACCATCAAAGAAAAAACAATCTCTAAAAAATGCTGATCGTAAGTAGCATATGAATTTATAAAACTAGCATTATGAAGTTATAAACATATAAATTATTATTTATGGTGTTTCAAAATGACCTCCCTTAATATATATTTCCCAAATCTTTAGAAAAGAAAACTTAACGACACTAGAGTTTCAATTCCATCCTTTTAACTATATATAAAAATCTAATAATGGTGCCACTGTTTTCCATTGTTGTTGGCACATTTTTACTGGACTAGGGGTAATTGTGAGCCCAAGTCAAGATTCCGGAAAATTTCTTGAGTTAAAAAAAAACCCAGTTTAACTATAACTAGTTACCCAGTTAACTAGAAAAAAATTTAAACAAGGTTTTTTCTTCCTTTTTCTCAATATTTTTTAGTTTACTTAAAATATATTTAAAATTTTACACATACCTATACCATTTACACATATCTATGATGACCTGGAGAAGTAATTGAAATTTACAAATATGTCTTTCTTTCTTGAGTTTATGATTGTAATAACTATTTACTGATAAGAAATTAATATTAGTCATGAATATATGCTTATAAAGTATCTTTCTGGCTCTCCTTTACAAACAAATAAAATAAACTGTGTTTTTAAATTCCACCTTTGAAAATTTGATTTCCGGAAACTTCTGTGATTAATGATTTTTTGAAACGTCTGGACCTTCGATCTCCGGAAACTTGTGGGTCACTGTTAGAGAAAATTCCGGAAATCTAGATTTTTTACGGAGCACAATCAGCCCTGCTGGACGAAAAATCACAGGATATGATCCAGTTTTCCCACATTAATTCCTACATTTCTTTTGGATGAAATTAATTAATGTTATAAATGTTAAAAGTTAACCCAATTGTTCACATAAATGTTAAGAGATTCTACCAGAAAGTGCAATATTCCGTCGTTTTCTACTAAAAACTACTACTTAACTAGAATAAAATTATTCTGATACCATTTTTACAAAAAAAAGAAACATAAAACTTTTATTTGAGCACAAAAATTTGTTCGATAATATCACCATAGCAACCGGTGATACAAACTCTAACTTACAGCTTACATATAGTAAAATAATGAATAAATTAAAAATCTAGCTTACAGCTTACATATACTCTAATAGTAAATAAATGAAATCTAGTCATTTTAACGATAAAGGTATTGTTTTCCTGTAATAATTATATTTTAAATTTAAAGGTATACCTGAATTTAAAGATATACAGGAATTTCAATGGTGATTGGTATGGATTTGAGGATGCTTTGGTATTTTCTCCTTTAAATATTACTTTTTCTAATCTTTGATAGTTTTTAATATACTCAATTAAAATTCGTCAAATGTCTGTGACGTTTCTTTTTTCAGCTTCGTTTAGTTATTTTTTGTGCCTCCTCATACGTACATTTTTTGAATTTTGTTATAAGGATTCTAAAAATATATATTGAGAGCGGTAATTACAAATTTCTTGTATTTAGTGGTGCACGAAATAGCAAGTCTATATTAATTCTGGAAAAAAATCTGTTTTTAAATGTGTCTGTACTAAAAATTGCAACAAAAACTAAATACGTTTAATTGTTGAAAGGATTCTAACATTCATAAGTCTTAAATGTTTTTACTTTGAATTTGTTTATAATGAGGGGATGACATTTCAAATATAGATTCTATATAATTAAAGTATTTTTCAGCGGATAGATTTATATTTCAAACAATTATCAGATCAGGTTGCAGCGTAAAAAGTTGTTTGATAAGGAAATATCTATACAAAAATATCTTTTAAAATTCTTATTAAAAATTGATTAATCCAGTTGTTTTACAAATGATCAGCTTATACACACTATAAAATAGCTACATCAAGGCCAATTCTGATTAATATATTGGTCTTTATAATCAACTCCTTTAAACTAACTCCCAAATTAACAAATTTTTGAAACTTTTTAATCGAGAATAAATGCTATGGAAGTTAACAATGGAAATTATTTCTAAGTTCCAGGATACATTCATGTAATGAATTTGTCTTAAAATTCTCTAAGTCGACAATTTTTTATTGGTCAGCCATATTTTTGATTTTTGACATTGATAAACTCTCGAAATGTAAGAAACTCTTTGAGGAATAGTTCTGAACATTTAAATGAATAAGCAACTCTAAAATAGTTAACTTTAATCACGTAAGACCAATACACAAGTATTAGTTGTTGAAATAGTGAGCATGTCGTAATCTAATTGAAAAATTCTTTTCTTCGCAAACGTTTCCCGTACTTTACAAGGCATTAGTTTGATTGGAAAAGTCTTCAGTGCTTGGATGTAGTCAGTTATTTTTAGACTTATTAAAATCAGTCTATATGTCTATAAAGGTAATTAAGTAATGTGCGAAAACAATACTTAATTTTCTTAGTTATAATGCAATAAACCTTCACTACTCTGGGCTTATTGCAATTCCTATAATAAATAAGGTTAAATGAGCAATAAATTGAATAATTTTTATTAATCTGAAAGAATTTGGGCTCACAGCAATAAACCTAAAAAGCATCAGGCTGATTAGAAAATATTGGAGACTTTTCTGATTCGCTTCTCTTTTTTTCTCGACGAAAAACAATAGTATCTTTAACGATAATTGAAGAACACAATAATTTTGTGATCATTATGAACAGCTGTAAATATCGAATACTATTATAATATGAATATATTCGATAACGGTAATTATCGAATACTATATTATAGTGATTTTTGATCAATTTCATTTGGGTAACAAAACGATCAATGTAAAAGTGTTAATGTGCCGCGTTATATAGTAAAATATCAATATCCCTGATGCTCTATCGCAGTATTAAAACTCAAATATCACTCAGTTTATATATTATTCATATAATACAGTTTGAGCCGCGATGGCTCAGGGGATTGAGCATTTGCCTTCCAGTGAGATGAACCGGGTTCGAATTCCGGCAATGACTGGTCGATACGAATTCCGCACACGGCTTGCACTGACCACAGTGCTGACGTGAAATATCCTCAATGGTAGACGGATCATGGATTAAAGTCCCCTTGCCATCTGGCTAACCGTGGGAGGCTTTCGTGGTTTTCCACTCCATGTAGCGCAAATGCCGGTTAGTTCTATCAAAAAGTCCTCAACGAAGGCAAATTTCTCCCAATACTTGATCCAGGAGTTCCCTTGTCTTCTGGATTGGATTTAAAATTACAAGGCTATGTAGTTGAACATTAGTAGTCTTGAACCCGAAAATTGGGTCGGCTGCTCACCGACTGTAATAAAATATAAAATAAAGTATAATACAGAACTTACGTAATACAATTCATAACTAGAGCATAATTGTAAATTTTTTTTTCTTCTTTCAGTGTGTATAGCATCAGGTACCAGAGTTGCACTATTCAATCGCTTGCGTTCTCAGACAGTAAGTACTAGGTATTTACATGTAGAGAATGGAAATTTCCATGCTAGCTCAGCCCAGTGGGGTGCGTTTACCATCCATTTGTGTAAGCATTTACTTACATTTTCTTTACTTAGAATTTTTACATTTAACATAATTTTTAAGAGTTACGATTTATAAGGTTTGAAATAGATCTAGAGCCAATCATTACCGGAAAAAAACAGGACAAAAATGTTCGAGTAAACTTGACATGAAATGCATTGAATTTGAATGAACTTTATTTTTATTACTAAGAAAATAATTTTAGTTGAAAAATTTGCAAACTAAATTTTTATACTTAAAAAGCCTTCCGCTAATGGAATTCGCTTACTAATGGGTGTGCCCATTGTCTGGTAAAAAGAAAACAAAATCTCTCAATATAGCAACGCGTTTTTGAAACGGTATAATTCTGTTTCTCGAAGCCTTTGTCATAACAAGAAATGCTTTTTTTGCGAGTAATATACTAATTTCATTATTTCGCAATTGACTGTTAGGTATATTAACAGTATTCATGACTGTAACGTAAAGTTTAGCTTTTCTCCAGCTAGTGCCCTCTACGCTAATTCAAAATGGCGAAAAAAGATCAATATGAAGAAAAACCAGAGTTTTGTGAAATGAAAGGCGTTTGTAATCAAATATTGATACTTTTCATCTACTTCATAAAATCTTGCCAATTCAGTGATTTTTAAAAGCATCAAATAACATTTCAAATATTTTAGTTAGTTGTCCTCGTTAAAAACCAGATAATTATTTACGGCAAGATGTTATACATAGTTTGAAATTAAAGCTTTGTCTCAAGTGTCAGGAATTAAAAATGCATTTTCTTTGTTTTATTTTTCTTGGTGAAAAAGTTTCGAAAAATATTGGTACCTTAAATGATATTTGAGGAAAGTGTGGCAATTGGATACTTGCAAGTGACATCATCGTAGGTAAATAGTGGCATTTGTTAAATCAGAAGCCAATCAGGTGCGACACACAAGCGTGACGTCGCTTAGAAGGATCCAATTAAATGATTTCAATCACATGGTTAGTCATAAACACTTCACTTCACTTCTTCTTGTGTTGCAAGTACCCAATTGATTTTGCTAGAAACCTCTTTCCCCATTTTAATCCGGAAAATTTTAAGCTGCTTGTCATAACTCTTTGAACTTCGTTTAGATATATGAATTGGAAATTTACCTAATCATGTTGATGCATTTTAATCAGAATTTATTTCTATAGTGGATGACAATGAGTCAGAATCCGAAGAGTTTACCGTCAGGGATGGTTATATTCACTACGGATCCACCGTGAAACTAGTCTGTTCTGTCACTGGAATGGCTCTTCCCAGATTGGTAATACTCCTTACTAACTCATATTAATGTTTTCTACAAACTGTTTTTATAAATCATCTGGTAAAGAAAATTCCGCAACTGGGCTGAATTGTTTGCCGAAGAATCTAAGGTTGTGTTTAAAATTCTATTCGTTTTCATCTGACTCGTAAATAATTCTATGCGCCCCCCCCCCATGCACAGATTTTAATTGATGCAGTACTGTTCTTCCACGCATACAGTTGAATTGCCAAATTTAATTGACATTATGCTTCGAAATGAAGTTATGCATTCAAGTAAAAACTTATGCTTTACGGACTTTTTCCGCATCTGTATTGGTTGAACGATCAATACGTTGTAGATTAGTGTTGCATGATTTAAATCCCATTTATCCAGATTTTCTTTTATTTACTTATAGATTTTTAGTATTTCGAGGCAGTTTTTCGAAGAATCTGCCGTGACGTTAATCACCGATTTTGTGCGTAATAATACTCAATTTTCATAACTGCTGTGAGATTGCAATTGCAATAATTCTTTATGACTGTAAGATAAAATTTAGCCTAACTGTGGCCAGCGCCCTCCATCTTAATTTTGAAAATAGTACAAAAAAATAACGTGAAGAGAAGCCACAGATCAGTGAAAAGTAAAACTGTTGGTGATCAAGCTTTTGTAATATTTAAAAAGCTACTCAAATGCAGCACTATCTAAACTCATCAAAATTTGTGAAAATTTTAACTGAAGAAAATTTTGCTATTGAGAACTGAAAATTTTCATTGGGAATTCATTGATTTTTATAACTTTCATCTAGGCGCAAAAAAATCGTGTCAAATTGGTGATTTTTTTAAAAAAAAAGTTTAATAGCTAATAAAATATTTAAGTTATTTGTCTATTATTAAGTCCAAATCCGGCCAGCCAATTTACGTAAAAATTATACCTCACCTCGAGTGTAAGGCACTTAAATTGTGGCTTTTTCATTTTTCTTGACGAAACAGCTTCGAAAAGGACTGATCAGATACCTTATAAAAGGCATTAGTTTCAATGAACAAGTTCTCTTTCCAAAGAGCAGGTAAATACTGTGCTGGATGTAGTAAAGTATATAAATTAGCACAACGTATGACAGAGTAAATAACTTAGTTCATGGATATAAGCAATCAGTTTGGTATTTCATTGGTTTGGTATTTAAAAAGAACTAGGAGCGAGGGAAATAAAGATATCCTGAATATTTGATAATTATTGGATTTTCATGTAATAAGCGACATTTGTAATGGCTTATAGGGTTGATCTCAAATATGATAAATAATTAGTGTTAATTATATTATAAAACTATGTTTAAAAATATACACTCTATAACAAAAAAAATCGACGTACCAAGAAGCAATCATCCGACTGCTTTGTAATTTCGTATGCATGAATGTTTTGAACAGATCAGGCTGGAATGATGCCGACTGGGGACGTATAGTCTTTAGCGACGAATCCCGTTTCCAACTAGGTCCTGACGATCATCGAAGACGTGTTTGAAGACGCACAGGGCAGAGGGGGATCCTGCCTTCATTATTGCACGCCACACCGGCCCTCAACAAGGCATTATGGTCTGGGCTGCCAGTTCCCTCGACAGCCGGACCCCTTTGGTCGTCATTAGAGGTACACTTACTGCACAGCGGTACGTCGACGACATCCTAAGACCTGGTTTGCTACCGTTCCTTTTGCAGCGCCCTGGGCTGGCTTTTCAGTAGGACAATGCCAGACCACATACGGCACGTGTTGCTATGAACTATCTGCAAGCTTGTCAAACTCTTCCTTGGCCTTCCAGATCACCAGATCTCTCTCCTATCGAGCATGTTTGGGATATGATGGGAAGGCGATTGCATCTGGCACGGAATGTTGATGACCTCGTTCGACAATTGGATCGAATTTGGCAGGAAATACAGCAAGAGACCATCCGGGAGCTTTATCGGTCTATGCCACGCCGTGTGGCAGCTTGTATCCAGGCTAGAGGTGGGACAACACCTTATTGAACTTGTTACTGTAACTCTGCAATAAATTATTCAATTGTTCTGAAATTTTAATCATTTACTATTCTGTACACTGTCTTACTATTCATCAATTTTCGTTTCAATCGGACAACTCCTTCGTGCTGGGTCGATTTTTTTGTTATAGAGTGTTCTTTCTCTGGATAGACATACTTTTTTTTACCGAACATAGAGAACGAAAATTTAGAAATATGTATTTCCAATAGCTTAGCTAAGACGCTGCCCAGGTGCCCGAGCGGTCAGCGTGCCTAACTTTAAAGCCAAGGGTTGCGGGTTTGAATCCCGCTCAGGGCGTGGATGTTTCCCTCTCTCTCTGTGTTGTCCTCTGTTGTGTGATGTGTGAATGTGGCCCACCCTATAAACGTGTATCTGTGGCAGTGTGGAGTGGGTAATGTTGCTCGTCTCCGTGACTTAGGTTCACAGGTGCCCACTGGGTAACGATAAATGAGCAACACTTCCGGTATCTTCCGATGTGAAGAACGAAAGTTCAGTGCCAACAGTAGAAAAAAAATAGTTTAGCTAAGAGAGTGGTAAAAGCTTTGATTTAGTAATGCTAATTTCGCTTTTTGTGAGTTTCACCTCATATCGGGAAATTAAGTGCATCGAAAATGTTTTGCTTAAAATATTAAATCTCCTTTAAAAATAATTCTATCCGTAATTTTTAATAATAAAGTTTTTACTATAGTTATAAATTTAAGATTTAAGAAAAATTTTTTTTTTGATTAAAAAAAAGATTTTTGAAATTTATTTTTTGGAAAACTATTTGGCAGCTCTCGTTCAATTCTTTCATTTTGGTATTTGCAGTTAAAAAGTGTGTATCTTACAAGCTTTTGACCACTATTAAATTGAATAGTGAAAAAATATTTATATTTACTATTGAAAAATATTTTTTCTTGTAATTATCTTGGGTCGATTTGACTTTTACAACTGTCTGAGAATAGTTTTAAAATGGAATGTATGCTATGTTGTGTATGGTGGTTAGGGACCCTTATACAAACTCAGAGGTCCTTGCTTTGAATCCTTCCGGCAGCCAATGAACGTCTATCTCACACATTTTATCCTTCACATAAATTTTGAGACTATGTATTTTGCTCAAAAATGAGTATATGAGTTTTCAAATTCAACTATTTTTTGTTTCAGATATAGTTTGACACATTTTTGCTTAATTTTAAGAAACTCGTTCATACAGAGCAGGAGTTTTTTCTTCTTCTAATGCCCATCTGGAGAATGGTCTTTTGTCGTACAGGCAACTGAAGGGCAGATTTGTTGGCCACTCTTTCAGGGGCAACATATTAGGTGGGCCAACGTTGCTCCCACAGTAAGGATAGATAGTAAAGAGAGAATGAAAGTGCATCCCGGGATTCGAACCCAGAACCTTTCTGATGCAAAGCCAGTTCCCTGACCCTCTACACAGGCTGGTCGGCATACAGAGAAGAAGTAAACTTAGAAGTAATAAATAGATAATGGGATGACCAGTTTGGCATTTTCTTTGATTTTAAACTTGTGGCGTTGGGTTGTAAATGGAATTTTCCTTTTGTGTTTAATTCTTGTTATGTCTTGCATAAATTTTTATATAATTATTGTCTTTAATAGATTATAAGGAAGGTGGATAAACAGACAGCTTTATTGGATGCAGATGATCCAGTTTCACATAATTTTTTAATGTGCGACATTAATTAATATGACATTATAATTTATATACGACATTAATTAATTAATGATCCAGTTCCATACAATATTTTAATGTACGACAATGCTTAATACGAACATAATTTATGTACGCCATTAATTAATTAATGATCCAGCTTCACATAATTTTTAATGTGCGACATTAATTAATTATTGATCCAGTTTCACATAATTTTCAATGTACGACATTAATTAATCCTGATCCAGTAGCACATTGTCTTTAATGTACGACATTAGTTATTTAATGATCCAGTTTCCACAATTTTTAATGTACGACATTAATTAATACGACATAATAATTTATGTACGACATTAATTAATTAATGTCGTGCATAATTTTTATTTAATTATTGCCTTGAATAGATTATAAGGAAGGTGGATAAACAGACAGCTTTATTGGATGCAGATGACACAAATGTGCCTTCTACATGAAAGACACCGAACGGATGTACCTCTGTTTATCACAGGAGAGGATAATTCAGTTCCAAGTAAATTTTAACTTTAATTCTTCTTTATTTCTTTATCTTATTCATGCCTTTATTCTTGATTCTTATCATGTGAATTTTGCGCTTTCGCAATAGAAAATAATATTTTCCTGAAATTGTCTTTAATTTCTAGAGAGATTAGTAATAAAATAAAATAAATCAATCATGTAAGCTGAACAATTGTTTACTTTCTGTTCGCTTCAGTTTTTAAAACGTATTGCTATCCTTGCAAATTTTCTACACAATTTGATCTATTGAGTTTAGCCAATTTATTGAAACAGCAATTTCTTAACTCATTTCAGGCAAAGTATAAAAGTTTTTATAAAATGTGATATTATTTCCATTGAAATATGCTTAAATTACGTTCATTGAGATACGAAAAAGTTTCGTGCATGAAAAATAATATTTCATTCAAGGAATAAAATGGTGCGTATATAATGCGCCATTGGCCAAACCAAAGGACTAATAATTTAATTGAACATTATTTTTTAATGATATTTGTTATATTTTATTTACAGAACTTGCTACTTTAATCCATCATAAAAACAAATTATTCTCAAATGGAATAATTACGCATTTTTAAAAATTCAAATTTGTCAATAACCGTTTCATCAAGATTGTTTTCTTTAAAAAAACAAAAAAAAACTCGAGTAGTTTAAAAATTTCTCAACTCAAAGTGTTTACTCTTATTGAATTACTAATATTTTATAGATGACTCTAGAACCCTTAAAAATTTCAGAAAAAGGAAATCAGTGAAAAACAGACGTCACAGTGTTAATGAAAAAATATCTATTAAAATGGTACGTTCACGCATCTTTTACCAAAAAAATGAGTTAATGAATATTTTTCAATTAAAAATAAAATTCTCTGTATACACCGAAGAGCCATTACATTCTGACCACCCTGCTAATAACATGTAGCATCACCTTTAGCCCTCAAAACTGCTAGCACCCGCCGTGGCATTGATTCCACAAGGTGCTGATAAGTAGTCTGAGGTATCTGGTACCAAGCGCTCACCAACTGATACTGCAACTCCCTCACATTGCGAGGGGGTGGCGCGGCAGCACGAATTTGGTTTTCCAAGTAGGACCACAAATGCTCTATTGGATTAAGGTCAGGTGAATCTGGGAGCTTGACATGACTTGAAAGTCACTGGAATGTTCCTCAAACCAATCCATGACGATTCGACCCTTATGACATGGTGCATTATTCTGCTGGTAAACACCATCCCCCGCAGGAAAAACTGTTGCCATGAATGGGTGAACCTGGTCTGCAACTATGTTCAAGTAGCTTATAGACGTCAGGGATTGTTCTATGAGGATTATGGGTTCTAATGTGCCACATGAAAGCATTGTTCCTGGGCGAGAAACCATGAAAACCTGGGCGAGCCCATTGTTATAGATGGAGGGTGGTCATAATGTAATGGCTCTTCGGTGTATAAAGCAAAAGTAAAGATTTCTATATAAAGGACACATTTAAATTTTAAAAACATCCATTCCTAAAATGTGGCATTTTTTTAAAATGTACATTAGAAAGAAACAAAAACTTGTAGTAGTACATACATTTATTAACTTAGAAAAGCAAGACTTGGGTGTTTATCACTTATTAATCATATAATACGTTAATAGTATAAAAAATCTCTTCATTTATATTTTTCAAAATTAAATTTAGACATTAATGAGTTCAATTTAGACATTGAATTTGGACATTAACGAGTTAATCAAATTTTTACATTATATTATCAATCAAAGTAAATTTTACGCTAATACTCTGAAATGTGAATATGTTGCTCAATCTTTGCAAAAAATATGTATTTCATTTACTACCAAAATGAAATATTATCGTACGAGTTCACATTAATCATACGAGCATTCCAACTAAAGACTTAATTTCTTTTCGAGCCATTAAATTTGAAATTCACATGAATTGTAAAACCTATACAAAGTCCATTAGAATTTTAATTTATAATCCTATTTGAAATCCTTACTTATGAGCACTTTGTAATCAATGTCTTATTGTTGACAGGCTACCCCTTGTCCAAAAGAACCTAATAAAGAAATGATAAATGACGGAGCTTCTTGGACAATTATCAGTACTGATAAAGCTGAATATACATTCTATGAAGGTATGGGGCCAGTGAGATCACCAGTCACGCCTGTCCCAATTGTACATAGTCTTAATGTAAGTATCTGTTTTGATATAAGCCTATAATTGACTTTCTTTCTAATGGTAGTGCAAATTGATATAGTGTATGTTATGAATAACTCAGTGTAGAATGTTGCAATGAATAAAAAAGACATGTTTAATTACAATCAAATTTAATAATGCAAAAAATAAGAATAAATTATATGATGGCGTGATATTTGTTAGACTTCCCCCTTCAAATCCGTTGCCTGCTACCCAAGTGATACATAAAAAGAATTAATATGAATGATTACAGCTCCCTCTTTTGGTCACGCAGAAATTAACACCATTCAATGTTAAGTGTTGTTTTAAAGGGTGATATAGACAGATGATGTTAAGTAAAGGTAAAGAGTCTTACTTCTACAGATTTTCCATAAGATTTTATTTTGGCATTGAAATTGGTAGCAAAATTGGTAATTTTCTATTTAATGCCTGTGCTTATAAATTTATTTTTGGCCACCGCTACGTACAAATAAAATACACATGAATCTCTCCAAATGAGTAATAATCAAACGATGGTATTCTTAAGCTCCAGCAAAATTTAAAAAAAAAATAATTAAGCCAACAATTATAATTCAGTTGTTCTTTCATTGCCTCATGGGAGAAAAACCTCGTAAACAGCAAAAGTTGGCAAGTGGGGTAAAGGTACTTAAAGTTACGATAGTTGCAAACTGATAGTCATAAAAAATATGCAACTGTGTAAGAATATCGTGAAGTAGCCTTCCGACATAGCTATCCTTAGCCATAAGAGTACTTGGAGATTAAAAGTTATATATTTTTACTTTTATGGCTATCAATGTTCAACTCCATACCCTTCTAATTTCGAATCCAACTTAGAAGACAAGGGCACTCCAGGACTAAGTATTGAGACAAACCAGCCTTTGTGGAGAAATTTTTGATGGAACTAGCCCGCATTTGTGTTACATTGAGAGGAAAACCACGAAAATCTCTCACGACTAGTCCAACAGCAAGGGGATTCAAGTTCCTAATCCGTTTACCATTGAGGATATTTTACGTCCGCAAGGTGGTCGGTGTGGCCAAGAGCAGATATCTTATCACCACGGGAATTCAAACTTTGTCACCTCATTGGGAGGCGAAAGATCTATCATTAATTTTATAAAATGGTTATGTTAATGATGCTAATATTTAAGTTTGAAACATTAAATCACTCTTTCCTCACTTCACTATAAATTATTATTTTCGCCGTTCTTGAATTGTAAATGTTAATGAAAAATACAGATTCCAAAATTCAGCGAGGGATGTAATACTAATGAACATATATTTTAAAATATCTATAATGATATGATGCTAAATAAATGGAACTCAAATTCAAAATTATAATCCATATAAAAATTATGATCATAGTAAAAATTTTGATTAAAAAATAATTATCAAATTGCTCTTTCCTCAGTTAACAAGAAATTACTATTTTCTCCACTCTTAAATTTATTAATGGATTAAATTTTCAATAAATTTTTAAATGAAAAATTCATATTCCAAAATTCAGTGAAGTATGAAATACTAATAAACATTATACTTTAAAATGTCTATAAAAAATAGACTGCCAATTAAATGTAGCTCAAAGCAAAATTATAAACTGAGTAAAATTATGACCTTACTAAAAATGTCAATCCCTATACATAGTGCTATATGTTTTTATTACAGCTAAATGGCGGAGGTGATGTTGCAATGCTAGAGCTTTCTGGCGAAAGTTTTACGCCTAATCTTAGAGTATGGTTTGGGGAAGTAGAAGCTGAAACAATGTACAGGTAATATGCAGTAAAAACATAATTGACACTTTAGATAATTTTTATAGCAAAGTTTTTCTTATTCTTTGATTTGTTAATCTTATAGATGTCAAGAAAGTATTTTATGTGTTGTTCCTGATATTTCATCTTTTCGAGAAGGATGGCAGTTTGTAAGGCAACCGACACAAGTAAGATTCAATTTTTTCTTGAAATCATCTAGTTTTAACTTTTCAAAAGTCCCATGTCAGATTGTTCTACAAGCCCTGCGTAAGATTGTTCGTAGGCGCTGTCGATCCCCAGTTCATTATTGTGGGTGGTGGATCGTCAAGGCGTACCTTTGAAGCTAAACACATTCAGAGAATCCTGTGGTCAGTTCTCCAGACCTAAATGCTGGAATGCTTTTGAAAAAGTAGCTGCTGCGTGTTATCCCTTCTAACGGGAAGATTTAATGGATGGAGAAGGATTTATTACTCCTAAGCATTATATACAGAAGCATTTGTCGATCTCGTAAGCAACACAACAATTCATTATAAAACTTGGCTTGTAACCCCAAGGTTAATGTCCCATATTAAACGAGTGCCATTTTTGCTACATAATGTCTGTTATGCCCTTTAACTTTCGATGTTGAGTTCGTGCCATTAATATTTTGATCGGGGAGCAATTTCTTCAACTAGCAAGTAGCAAATTGCTTATTAAAATAGGCGAATACCAGTTACAGCGATGCGCAGGAGCAAAAATTGCTAATAATTTCTAATGATCTCGATTTTTCAATCGTTTCTCCGTTTTTTCCCACAAGATTTTTAAAATTCCGATATTCTCATTATGATGCTATACTATTACGTATAATATTATAACGTAATCGTAACATTATTACGATTACGTAACACCATTAAGACACGCAAATTTCAAATTAGAGTTCATGACGTTCTCGATTAAAGAAGATTCCATCGCAAATCGTCCTCGTTTTCTTATATTTTTTATATTAATCATTTTTTCGGTGATCTTCACAAATTTTTTTCCAAACATTTCGTACTTTTAATACGATGATGCTGTGACATCCGTAGATATGAGTAATCGCTTTTTATGCGCAGGATTCACAGCCATTCCACTGTTAATTCACGTTGTTATCTTATTGCTAAGTAGTTATTGCAGATATTTTTTGCTTTACATCATTTTTACAAGGTCATCTAAATATTGATATTTTTAAGATAATATTATTTTCACATCGGAATTTCGAATTTAGTAATCACTTCTTGACGTGCTTTATTCGCGACTATTCCATCGTTTATCCACATTTCCAAGTTATTTTCTCGGCTGTTATTTTTTTCGACAGTTGTTTCAGTTAGTTGTCTTATTTCCAGCCAGACAATTGACACGTAGTTTTTTAGGATCTCGATATTTTAAGTACGATATTATTTCTACCAACTTATTCGGAATCGCACAATTGAGTATTTAAACTTAAAACGAGTATAAATACTTAATATTTACCTTTCAGTGATCGTCTTATTGAAGGAAGTCACACAACAATGATTATATTAAATTCTATGCATCACATAATATATTGCGGTACCGCTGTAAATTATAACTTTTTATCATAAGTACTGTAAAGTAGTACTTTTTATAATTAGCGGACTTAGCTACTGATTTTTAATAATAACTAAGATAACGTCCTGATTTTGATATTATCACTTTTATTTACACTTCTATGGGTTATCATATAAAATATACTAGATTTCCATCACTATATTTCTTGTGTTATGCACTAAACCGTGATTGCATAAAAATGTGACATAATGCATGTTCAGCACGAAAATGTTATTAACTTTTGAGCATGAGTTTGCACATATTGCATTACATATACAAATTGTATTACTATGATTGTATACATATTGCATTGTAATTTTACTTAAAAACGAGAGTAATGTATATTTTTGATTTGCTTTTTTTTCCTAATGTTTTCGAGCCTAACTTTTCTAAAAAATAATCTTAGAATTAGTTATTAATTTTAATTAGAAACAAATGTAATTTAGTTACTTCTAATTTTCACTTATTGTTTTTTTCCAATATTTTTCAATAAGAAAAATTACTTTAAAAATATGTTAGTAATATAATTAAAGACAAGCATAACTCATAATTATTTGTAATAATCTATTTCCAATCGTTTCTGTTTCCGATTTTCGCGCATAAATAAAAAGAAGAAATATTTTTTATTAAAAATAAAGAGTTATCTATTTCAAAATTAAGTTTTTACTTTAATGTATTTTTTTTCTTAAGGGATATTTTATCCCTTTGATGAAGTTGGGGGCACCGGTGCCTCTTTTATATATATTTTTTCTGATACTTTAAATACAAGCAGAAATATATAAAAAAAAGTCTAATAATTATGAAAAGCATCTGTTAGTTTATCGAAATTATTTTTGCACTAAAGTATAAAATCCAAAAAAAGTAGTTAGAATTTTTTTTCCATTCATATTAAAAAATTTATCAATAATTGATTTTGCAAATGGAAGAAATTTCAACGATAAATAATTTTTTCTTAGATATAAATAGTTGCAAATTTGAAAAAAAAAATATTATTTGGAAATGAGCCGTGATCGATTTTACCTTTAACACAGAAAAGGACACCGGTGTTTTATGCTGTATTTCTCAACCATAAATTATTAAAATGCTAAAAATATAATATTTTTCACATATTTTGACCTGAATTAAAGCAAAAAAAATTAGAAAACTATGAAAAATATGTCTAATAAAAATTATACGTCAAAGTGTTAATGAAAGACGATTTCCCACAGTGTTTTAAAATTTTTAATATTATTACCATCGTTGAACAGCCGAATTTTCAATTTACTAATGTTCAACTCAGTAGCTTTGTAATTTTGAACCCAGTCCAGAAGACAAGGGAACTCCCGGATAAAGTATCGGGAGTAATTTGCCTTCGTGGGAGACTTTTACATGGAACTAATCCGCATTTGCGTTACATGGTGAGGGAAACTTCCCACGGTTGGCCTAATGGCAAGGAAACTCTAATCCATGATCCTTCTACCATTAAGGATATTTTGCGTCAGCACTGTGGTTGGTGCGAGATGGGTTTGGTATTCGAATCAACCTAACATCACCGGGATTCGAACACGGTTCACCTCATTGGGAGGCGAGTGCTCTATCCCCTGAGCCACCACGACTCTCAGTGTTTTAAATTGAAATTTCCTTTTAAATACTCTAACCTTACTCCTTTTGAATTCCAGGTGCCTGTATCTTTAGTGCGTAGTGATGGGATTATTTACGCAACCGGTTTAACATTTACTTATACCCCTGAACCTGGTCCAAGACCTCACTGTCCTCAAATAGAAGATGTTTTAAGACCAAATCTTCTTCATAATCATGTATCTGACGGTGTTGAACACTCACAGTCCTCTTTAATGATGCCTCCTCACAGTTACCAAGATCATAATCTATAGTAGCAGTTACTATAGTACAGTCTACTATAGTACAGTCTTTATTTTTAAACGAAACATTGTATATAGAAATTATATTTCATAAACGAAAGATTTGTTTTATGTCAAAGATTTTTATTTACTTTTATACCTAAAGTAAGCATTGCACTTTCATCTAAAATTATGTTTGAAATACATTCTTTTTATACTATAATATCTCTAAAGGATTATTAATTTGCAGAGGGTGTTCCCTCATCTCCACATTTGCTATGCATTTTTAGAATACTTTTCAAATTAATTGATAATTATTTTACGCAGGAAAGAGTTCCAAAACTAAACAATAATTAAAAAAGCATGGTATCCATGTGTGGAAAACATATAATCAAACAGTCAAAATTAATTAGCAAATGACAATCCCAGATAGCAGTGTAGGGTTCATTTTAATGTCAGCCATAACCTTTATCACAAAGCCGAACAAGCTCTATAAATGATTAACAAATAAACGCAAGATTGAAACAGTTTGAAGCTAAGCTGGTTTACGAGCTATGAAATTCTCATCAAGCTTCCTTGTATAAACAACCCTTTTATATCAAAATTGAATCTGCCTTTTAAAAACAAGGCAGGAAAAACTTTCTAAAATCGTGGATGTGTCATCATTCGCAAATCAAGAGTAGAAAACGTTCTCAAATCGAGGATAAATTTATCTTTTCTAGGTTTTAAATTTTATGACCATCACTGAAACAAGGTTCATTTACGCAGATAAACTTTCTTTAACGTTTTAAAAGTGATGGTTGGCCTGATCATTAATTTTTTCAACGCAAACAACCAAGTAAAAATGAAAATACAAGGTATACAATAAGGTTGCCTGCTATCTGAGACAGGATTGCCCCCCTTTTTTTGTCTGTTCTAATAAATGAAAGTAAATAGTTGATTTTCTTTGACAAATAAAATGGTTTTCCTGATTTTAATTCCAAAAACAAAATCTTTGATAAAAATGATAAGATGGAGCCTGATGGAATGATGGATAGAATTAGAATTCTTAGTGTTGCTCTTGATTTGACAAAAGGGAGTTGTCTCTAAGAGCATATATATATATATATATATATATATGGAAAACCAGGCTGAATGATATCAAAGGATTGAAAGCAGCTGAGGTTTGATTGCCACAGGACGAAAGAGATGGTGATTTTACTCTCTTTCAAAATCATTAACCCTTGCTAGAATTTTGTAATTATTTATATTTATAATTTTTTCCTTAAAAAAGCAAACAACAAAAACATTCTAATGGTTTCTTATTTGAAAACTATCCTAAAAATCAGGAGCAAGCATGAACGATGATTTTAGAATACTAAAAATATGTCCTTAAGTTGAGTTTATTGCGGAAATATTTTTTTCTGCAACTTGGTCAATGCTTACTCTGGGTGAAAGTGTACACAAATATGTACTGCTTGAAATGAAAGAAAGCAGGTCTGATTTTGTATATGTAGCTTCTGTGATAACTTTTGATAACTTTTATGTTCCTGTAATGCTGTTTAAGAACAAAATTGTATGTTTCGGTATTCAATAATTAGTCAATCTTTCTTCTTGTTGTGGTAACATTTATGGTGAAGTGAAACAAATAATAAACATCATTATTTTTAAAAAGACATCAACTTTTCAATACTTACAAAGAAATATTTTCTTTTGTCTACTTGACTTCATTCAATCATTTTTCAATCATTTTTCACTTTGTTTAGGGGCTAATCTTTTTTTCCCGGTGGCAGTAATAAATGTACCATAAGAAAAAATGTTCATTATTTTTTCATTACATAATTGCCTAATTATTTATTTATTTCAATCTGAAGGCTTTGATTTAAAAATTTTTTTCTATGATTTCACTAAATAGTATTTTGTTTCTACAACAAGCACTGTTCTCACTGTAAGATGTATCATGGATCAAACTCAATCTTTAAAGATTGAGATTTCCCCCCAATGTTTGGGAATAATTTCCATTTATTTAGATAATTTCAATATAAATAACACTGGGGACAAAGTAATGATCTAGTACTACAGCGCATGCAGAAAGTTTAATAGTATATTTCTTTTGCCTTCCATTTATTTAGATAATTTCAATATAAATAACGCTAGGGACAAAGTAATGCAGAAAGTTTAATTGTATAAACAACGTCAACATCCTGAGCCAAGACACAGAATCTATATTGAATTGGTGATGGTAATAAGTTTTAAGTATTTATACTTGTAAGTATTGTACATCATAAATTATTGTGAAGAATTTTGTCAGTGTCATGTTTTGAAAGCTAAAGAATTGACTAATTAAATTTTATCATAAAAAATGCTTAAATCAAATTTTACACTTAATCTCTGTAACTAAAAATCAATAAGATATGGAATCTATATCTTAGCAGCAATAATAACACAGTCGTAACTACTTATTATTGTAATTAAAGTGTTGCTTTCAGCATTTCTTATTTCAACGTAAAAATATCTTTCCGTTTATATGTTGGCATTCCGGATTGAATTCCCCTTTCCTTATGTTTGTATATTTAGATAGATTACCAGCCGTTGAACTAGTATAAATGAATTCCAGTATGTTTGTCTACCGTTTTGTTGCCTGATCACTCCAAAAAACTCTGCTAAAGAATTTTGCCAGTGGTGGAAAATTTTTGAATATCACCTAATTATGATCCAATAATACATAATTGTAATCCATTTTGAATACGCATCTAATTATGATCCTGCGATGAAGACATTCCTATATTCGTTATGTATTATATGTTTTATGTACGTGTTGCTTGTTTACTTTTTATAAAATGGCTATTGTTTTTCCAAATGTTTTCAGTAAAATATCTTCCTGTATTGTTGAAAGTGCGTTATTAAATTGCTTATTTATTAAGAAGATTACTTTCATTATGATAACCAATTGTTGTGTTGCTTCTCTTTTATACGAACTAAATCGTTAAAAATACTAAGTAAAAGCAAAATGAATATAAATTCAATGGAAATGACTTAAAACAGAATTTAGTGCAATAAAAATGAATAATATTTGTTAAGAGACCCTTTACCCGACCTGACTTAGCCATCAATAAGGTGCAGACGTAAGGGGATATTCTAAATATTATTTTAATTAACTTTAATTTCTACAAATTAAACAATGTTTGATGTGATAAGTATTAGAAACAGCTTTCCTTCAACGCTTCTTAATTTATAAAATGAGTCTCTTAATATTTTTTTGAGAATGATCGAAAATATGTGTCCCAATCTATATATATATA